TAATGCAAGGAGTGCAAACACTTCAAGTGCTTCAGAAGTGTGAGCAAAGAGCAGGCGAAGGCCAGTAACCAGCTCGATGCATGAAGTACAACCTCGATGAGGCGGGCGAAGTCAAGTAACCTTTGCCTTCTCAACTCTTAAGAGAATGGGCGAAACCGAGTACCCCAATTCTCTTATCTATCCAGCAGAGGAGCTCTGCACAAGTTCAAAGACCCTTCGAAGATAATGGAAGACAATAGTTGTCAAATCCTCACCAACGGTGATCAGTACTACTGAGAGTAGATTGTCCACTTCATTTCCCAACGAAATGCCAATCGAAAGCGGAAGTGATGCGAACCTACTTGGATGTGACAACTAACTGAAAGAAGAGTCAATGAACAGATTTTGTGGAGGAAGGACCCAAAACTTCAGAAGTTTGCGAGGCGATGCTCGTTAAAGCTCCAACAAGCATCCACCCAGTTCAAGCAGCATGTGGAATTTTGAGAGACTGGCGCAGTAAGGATGGTCTTTTCTTTCATTTGGTGGATCCGCAGGAATCAACGAGGATCAACACAACTCAGCCAACCCCACACCAGAGTCAGAGTCATTGGCGAGTTGAAGCAGCATGGCGGATCAAAGGTTCGACTACTCAAAAACAGCAGCGGAGAGCAGCTGGGAGCCAGGAGGTGCATTGCAGCTGGAGCAGAAGATTGAAGACTCAGCAAAAGTGAAGAGTTGCAGTGTTCACAAAGGCTTCGACGAGGACGTCGAAGGAATAAGTGGGGGAGAATGTCACGGACAAACTTCGAAACAGGGTGTTTGATGTAATGCTTATATATGTCCGTGTCTTTTGGCATGTTCATGCCTTGTACAACATGTAGAGGGGCGGCCGAAGGCTTAATAGCCCCATTTTAGTTGGGTTGGTGGCCTCTTTAGGCTTGTAAATAAAGGTTGTGTCATGTGGACACGCGCGAGAGCTTTTCGATCTGTAATGGACCATTTTACCCTTTGTTGTGCCACTGTTCAGAGCTTGTAAAGTCTGTTTGTAATTTGCATTGTCTATGAAGTGTTTTTCGGACATGTTTGCTTGTGGATCCCGATTGAGGCGTTCTCTTTAACCCGTTCTCTCTTTTGTTGGTCCTAAGGGACAATGGGAGGCTTCGGGGAGGCTGACCTTTGCGGACGGACACGCAAGGGTGCCGCACGGCTTAGGCAAAACCAGCTAAGTCCGTGTCAGCCTGGCAAAACCTCCGAACGAGGCATTTCAATGAAGCCCTACCAGGTCGCTCGCCTGCGCCTAGGCATTGAGTGCCTTGGGCAAGCGCCCGAGTGAAGATAGGTCTAGGTTTGTGCATGGTTCAATTGTACAAGCAAGTTGGTTCAATCAAAACCACCCCGCGCCCCTCCCCGGCCCCCCCACTAACATCCAACCCAGTTTGTCTTTCGAAGTGAAACCCTACATCCATTGTTGCTAACTTCATCGTTAGCTCCGTTAGCCACCTTCATCTGCAGCTTCATTCGCCGCCACCTTCATCCATAGCTTCCTCCACTGCTGCTCTCTCCTTCCCCTACCTTCCTTTATTTTTTTATATTTTAATATTCTAGAGCATCTTGTTTCGTTGGGGCCTCAAGCATTTTGAGACCTTGGTGCCTAGCACTTATAAAAACACAAATTTCTATGACTCAAACCCTAATAACTAGATCACAAATAAGCAATATTACCATGATGCCAATGAGTGTATCCTATGCACAAGATTTTTATCAATACAGGACATGAAAAGACCATTTTCGTGACTCAAATCTTGATCACTCAAGCTCAAAATAAGCAACCAATGCTCACCCTAAAATATTTTATAAAATGATCAAAATAAATATCATATACAAATTTTATCACTAAATGATCCATGAACTTTTACTTTCATCCATTAACAACTAGAATGACACATAAGTAACACATGGTAATTCAGAAATTGTAAATAAAACCATAAAACAAAAGATGAAATATGTATGACAAACTAAATATATATCTCATCGTTTCCTAAGTTGATGACCCTAATTTTAAAGTTTGGATCAAAACTGAATAAGTTTTGAGCATTTAGATAAGACTGTAACAGATTAGTCTTTGGATCCTCTGTTAATTTTAATTTTGTCCTTGGGCAATAAATAAAGGACCAAAATTTCAAAATTCAAGGTCTTCGATTTCTGGGCCACATAAATAATGGACATATATGCTATTAGGTTCGATACCACCAATTACATTCAATACCTTAAAAGAATATACAGAACAATTCCAGAACAGAAAGATGATACAATGGAAACACTATTCAGAGGCCAAAAAATGATAGACCGCTGGATAGATTCCACAGCTTCACCAATTCCAGTTTGTATCCCGTATAAAGCATGGAAAAGAACAGCAACATTACAATTAGCCAAACAAGACCATCTTGATAGCCTAACCTTTTTATTAAATGAGAACTATCAGAAGAAGAAAGAAATTTAAATAATGAAATGAGATAAAATAAGAACTATTATCTATCCATTTAGCTCTTAGAATTAAAACCCTACCAGCAAAAGGAAAATGAACCAGAAGATCGTCCAATGTGGACCACATAGCACAATAAACATCAAGGATTAAGCACAAGAAGAAGATGGCAAAACAAGATCGATGCGTGTACCGAAGTTGCGACCCACAATGCAGTGCCAACTCTGCCCGTATTTGGCGTCGAACTCCTTTTTGATGTACTCGGCGATGTTCTTCTCCACCGTATGCTCTTGGAACGCCTAATTTCCCACAAAAACCACAAGAATAATGAGCCCAAGAAATAGCCGGCACTGATCGACCGCGATCGAAGCTAAGGAACATGAAAAAGGGAAAGACTCGGGTCGATCGACACAAAAGAACAGGAAAATGGTTCTTGCTTCATACGGCGCGAGCACAGGCACATGCGTGGCTCCGCATCTCGTCACTCATGTCGACGCCCTTCAAGATGACATCGAGCTCCTTCTGCTGCGCCGTCGCCGCGCCGCTGTTGCTCTCGTCCCCCATCGCTCAATGAGTTTGACGAAGTGCAGTTTCCATCCAAAATAACCTTGCGATCGGAGGCAGCTAAGAGTTCATAGGGGTCCACGTGGGTCCCTTTTATTTCTCCAATACCGAAGCAGGTATACGATCGATTTATCAACAAAGGGTGTAGGAAACGTATCTGCGCAAATGGCTTTCAATTTCGAATTAGAGGAGCGGCTGCTGGAATGCCGTCACCGACCGAGAGCCGCGGACGGAAGCAGGGGACGGTGGTGCGCTCACCGATTTGGTGGCAAGGGCAACGCTCACCGATTTGGCTGTGGGAACCGCAGCCAAATGGCCACTTTGCCTACGATGAACCGAGAGAAGTTGTGGTGATTATGTCCGTTTATGGTGCAAATGGACTTCTCTAGCAAAAAAATATTTCCATAATTAGAAAAATCACATGATCTTATGAAACTGTAGTTACTAGTTTCTTACACCCTTTATTTTCATAATTATATATATATAATTGACCAAAAACTCTTTTTTTTTTGTCACGTGCTGCAAAACTTCATTTTTTTTTTCCCTACATAATTGACCAAAAACGAGCTCTTTTCTGTTGGCAGTGTCATTATCTTCCGAGGGCTGCAATTCTTCCCTGGTTTGCAGGCAATCCATCCAAGCCACTGCTTTTTCATCTCCAGCTACGATGGTCTGTATGCATTTCCTTTGGTCCTCAGTCTACGTTCAGGCTCAATACCAAGCAGGCTTGCGTTCTTTCTTCGATCATTGGCCGCTGTCCAATGCGTAAGACGCTGCACCTAAGTGGTCTCCGCAGGCAACTATTCCCTTCCATCATTATTGTAGAGGAGATGCTCCAGTACAGTTATTAACCATTGGGGCACTGCTCCGGTGGATGGGTTTTGAGTTGAATACTTTCGAGAGAGACAGTGCCGGGTTTGACATGTAGAACACCACATCGAAGATCTACAAGTGCATGAGAGAGACAGTGCCAAGTTTCTTCATCCAAATATGTTTCAAATCTCATATTTTGAAGTTTTTATTTTTCGAAAAATATACACAAAAAGAAAAAAAAGCCTAAACTCCTCGTTCTATTATAAAAACTAACAATTCATGTATAAAAGCTAATAATTCATATATATATATATATATATATATATATATATATATATATA